CGCTTTGGAGCCCCGAGTTGTGCTACTGGAAGGCCCCCCCGCGCGATCCGCCGCGGCTGCTTCCTCCTGGGAGGGACGACCCAGAGCTGAGGGGAAACGCTAGAGGGCGGACCGGCTCAGGGGGGGAATCATCAGCCTGCAATCAGCGATACTCCCTCTTCCATTCGCACCACTGCGCAAGGATCGGGGAACAACTAATGGCATAAACATAAACGTTCGCGGATTTCTTAGGACTGTAACAGGGGATGCGTCGACCCCTATCCCAGGCTCCGTGAGGTTTTCGAGAGGATCAACAATTTGGGGCCCAACCCTGGGATATACGAGGGGGGGGCGTCCATCCTCGACAGTGCGTCCGAATAGCCCCCTCGGGATGTATCCCAAGATTCCTCCCCTTTTCTGAGCGACCAAACTTTTCTGGCGGAAGTCGGGGATTGGGGGAGAGAAATCGCCTGCGAGACTGGGCCCCTTCCCTGGCGTGCGGGGCGCGCCAGGGGCGGCGCCGTAGGCGCCGCCGGGGGTGCCCAGCGCCGATCCAACTCCAACAAGTGGCACGTGTGCTATATGGCTCTTGCACAAAAAGGGAGGGGTAGGAGGAGGAGGAGGTGGAGGAGGGGGGAAGAGGGGGCAAGGCATCGCCCCTCGGGGCCCAGCAACGGGGCCCAAATCCCAGGTGGGGACGGCGCTGGGAGCGGAGGGGGCACGGGGCGGAGGCGCTGGGGACGGGGGGTGGGAGGGGGGGGGGTGGCGTGGCGTCGCCCCCACTGGGGCGCTGGGGAGCGGGGAAGGAAGTGGGGGAGGTGGTCTGCGTCGCGGGCGGGGGTAGAGCGTTCGTGGCGGGTGGGGGCGTGGGCGGGGCTCCCGCTGGGGCGCTGGGGGCGCGGGGGGGCTCGGGGCAGAGAGCCACGGCGCGGGGGTCCCACTCTGGCGCTGGGGACGCGGGGGGGGGGGGGGTGCGACGCGGAATAAAGCGTTCGTGGCGGAGGGGGCAGTGGGCGGGGACCCGCTGGGGCGCTGGGGACGCGGGGGGGCTCGGGGCAGAGAGCCACGGCGCGGGGGTCCCACTCTGGCGCTGGGGACGCGGTGGGGGGGAGGGGGCAGCGGAATAAAGCGTTCGTGGCGGACGGGGGCAGGAAGCGGGGCTCGTGGCGTGGCGCTGGGGGGGGCGGGGGAGGCTGGGCGGGCTCCTGCTGGGGCGCTGGGGACGTGGGGGGGCTCGGGACAGAAAACCACGGCGCAAGGTTCCACTCTGGCGCTGGGGACGCGGGGGGGGGAGGGGGGGGCGACGCGGAATAAAGCGTTCGTGGCGGAGGGGGCAGTGGGCGGGGCTCCCGCTGGGGCGCTGGGGACGCGGGGGGGCTCGGGGCAGAGAGCCACGGCGCAGGGGGTCCCACTCTGGCGCTGGGGACGCGGGGGGAGGGGGGGTGCGACGCGGAATAAAGTGGTCGGAGCTCTAGACACCCTGTGCAAGAGAATAATCATGTTTATGTCTCCACTCGCACCCCGAACAAAAGCCTGGCCGCGTCCTGGCTAATGCTAGCCTGCGCTGCCTGCCGTCACGTCTGCCGCCCCGCCTTCTCCTCCACGTCACGTCTTCTTCTCTGCCTGAGGAGGAGAAGGAGGAGGAGGGCGAGGCGGGGGAAGAGGAGGAAGGCGGGGAGGATGAGGATGAGGATGAGGATGAGGAGGAGGAGGAGGACAAGGAGGAGGAGGAAGAGGAGGAGAGCGGGGGAGGAGAGGAGGGGAGGAGGAGGAGGAGGAGGAGAGGAGAGGAGGAGGATGAGGAGGAGGAGGAGGAGGAGGAAGAGCAGAAGGAGGACGAGGACGAGGAGGAAGAGGAGGAGGAGGAGGAGGATGCGGGTCAGGACGAGCCAGATAATGAGTACTACCCTCGAGCAGCCCCGTGCTCCTCCTGCGCGCGCGCGGGGGCCGACGCGCGCGGGGGCCGGGCTGGTGCCTGGACGGCGTATGCACTGGCGGCGCGGGCGGGGGAGCAGAGGGAGGAGAGGAGAGCAGGGTCGAGGAGGAGGGAGCGGGAGGGGAGGATGAGGGAGGGATGAGGGAGGATGAGGGAGGAGGAGGTAGGAGGAACGGAGGCGGGGGGGGGAAGGGAGGGCGGAGGGGGGGGCAGAAGAGGAGGATGGAGGAGAGAGGAGGGAGGAGGGAGGAGGCAGGAGGGAGGATGGAGGATGAGGAGGGCTGAGGGTGGTGGAGGAATGTGGAGGAAGGAGGAGATGGGATTGCCAGGCACCGGGCTGCGCAGGGACAGCTCCCAAAGTTAGCTCCGCCTGGTCATAACAGGCCCCCAGAGAGGAGCGCGGTCTCTGCAGAGTGGTCCGCAAGAACCCCGCCGAGCCCACGTCGCAGCACGAGAACAACGACGACAAAGGCGACAGCAGCGAAGAGGCGACGACAGCAACGACGGTGGCGACGATAAGGACGACACCGGCGACGGCGATACATAGCGCCAGCGCCGCGCGGGATCTGACTGGCAAGGATCTCACCCAATCCTTTTCGCGCTCTGGGACACCGACGCACGAGGAGGAGGAGGAAGAGGAAAAGGAGAAGGAGGAGGAGGAGGAGGAGGAGGAGGAGAAAGAGGAAGAGGAGGAGAGGGGGGTAGCTTGGTATTCTAGGCTTCCCGAAGGGGGTCCGAGTAGATGGGATCTGAGGATCGCGCCGCATCGCCGATGCATCGGCGCTGCATCGGAGACGTCGACGATGCGTCGGCGCCGTTGGCTTGCAGAAAGTCGGTCTCCACATCGAGCTGCATCGTCGATGCATCGGCGCTGCGGCGCGATCCTCCGACCCAATTTTTTTTGTCCCGAAACGGTGCGGTGATAGATCGTGTGGTGACCTCGAAATCCCCCAAGAGACCTCACCGCACGGTCCGTCACCGCACGGTCTTGGAACCCCGGAGGCCCCAATCGCCCGAGACGTCCTCGGAGAACGACCCGAACTCCATAACGGCGCGGTGACACCGAATCCCCACCGACTCACCGCACGGTGTGGTCACCACCCCGTTTGGGGGCCCCCGAGATGAGGAGGGGAAGAGCCGAGTCCAACTGCACCGGAGGCTCTCTGGAGGACCACCTGCTCCAGAACTGCTCCCATAGAGCGCGGTGTGTTACTTTCGGGCATAATGGGCTTAATAACGGGCCGGGGAGGGTACAATGTAACGCCTCCCCCCCGCCGTGTGCCCGATGCGCGCGGCGGCAGTGCCTGGAGCGCACTGGAGGGGAGGGGCGCTACGTTATAGGGGAGGCGGGGAAGGGGGTCGGGGGCTGTAATGCCCATTTATGCCCATTATAATCCCCACCGGCTCACCACACGGTGTGGTCCCCACCCCGTTTGGGGGCCCCCGATCTTTTCGGAAGCGGCCAAGAGGGGGGGTGTCCAAGAGGGGGGGGGTGCAAATCATGACCGGCGGCATGTGCGCGGCCCAGCGGCGGGGCCAGGGACGTGATGAAACAAGAAGAGGCGCCCTGAGATCTGGGGAAATCTCATGGCCCCCGCCATGATATCCCCCCCCCCTACCGACCAGCCGTAACTGGGGGAGCCGTGGTCCGTACCCCCCTGGGGGAACCCATCGCATCGACGATCTCTTGAGAGGGGTGTCGAAATCGATGGGCCCCCCACGGGGGTAAGGACCACGGCTCCCCCAGTTGTGGCTGGCCTGCTGGTCATCCCCCCCCCGACGTTTGGGGGCCCCCCGTTTGGGGGGAGGGGGGAGGGGGGAGGGAGGAGAGAGGGAGAAGGGAGGAGGGAGGAGGGAGGAGGGAGGAGGGAGGAGGGAGGAGAGGAGGAGGAGGAGCAGAAGCAGCAGCAGAAGCAGGAGGAGAAGGAGGAAGTAGGAGGGACTAGGAGGAGGAAGAGAAGGCGGAGGAGGAGGAAGGAGGAGGAAGAGGGCGGAGGAGGAGGAGGAAGAGGAGGAAGAGGAGGAGGGAGGAAAGAGGAGGAAGAGGGAGGAGGGGAGGAGGAGGAAGCGGGGAGAGGAGAGGGAGGATGAGGTAGAGGAGGGAAGGAGGAGGAGGAGGAGGAGGAGGAGGAGGAGAGGGGAGGAGGAGGGGAAGGCCCTGCGCTCCGAGGCGGCCTCGGAGCAGGTCCCCTTCCGCGTGCCGGGTTTCGGGCGCGTCGACCGCCGCACAGGGGGGCCCCCGCGGGGGCACCCCTCCCAGACTCCCTGCTGCTCGACGACGAAGAGGAGGAGGAGGAGGAGGAGGAGGAGGAGGAGGAGGAGGAGGAGGAGGAGGAGGAAAAGGAGGAGGAGGAGGAGGAGGAGGAGGAGGAGGAGGGGGGCACATTCCATCTCTCTTGGAGCGACGAAGAGAGCAGAAGTCTGTTGGAGGCCTGGAAATGGGCACCAACACCAAAACAGGGGGTTTCCTCCACAGGGGGAAGAGGATCCTAGATCTCGGCGTTGGCGGTAACACTTCGGTCACCTTGGAAGCCAGAACATTACCACCATCACCGAGATTGGGATCTTCTTCCCTCGGTGGAGGCACACCGCCGATCTTGGTGTTGGTGTCAACCTCTGGGCCTGCGAACGTCTGTTCGTCGTTCAAAATCGAATCGAGAGAGAACAGGATCGGACAGGAGAGCCCAGAATCGAATCGATGAGTCGGATCGGCAATCGAAGCGAATCGGATCGGCGGGAATCGGCAGCCGAGTCGGGAAAAGTCGCATCGGCGGGCATCGGCAGCCTAGTAAGCGTCCAATAAAAATCGGAGTCCAAATCGGAATCCGAAGCCGAATCGAATTGGAATCGGAAGCCATCGAACTCGAATCGAATCGTATCGGAGGAATCGAAAAGAAACCTGAAATGGATCTTACGCGAGGTGGCATAGCGAACTTGCGCAGTGGCTTACGCGGGCCGCCAGCGCGGCGCGCCAGATTGGAAGCGAGGGCGCCTACCCGCCACCTTACGTGGAAAGCTCACGCACCAATGTCGGCCCAATCGACCCCGTTGTCTTCCAGCGCACTCGTTGCCCGCACTATTGCGACAATTCTCTTGCGAACATCATGGCATCGGCCCTTTGCCCGTGACCAAAGGACAAATCGACTCCCTGTGGCGGCGACGATGACAATTGTGGCACAACGCTGGTACCGTGCGACGCTCTGTCCCTCGATGGGGGCAATGCTGAAAATGATAGACGTTGCGGCAAAGATGACGTGGTCTGGTGGACCAGTCCAAGCTTCGTGTGACGTCAATACATCGGCCGTGCAAAATTGCCTACATGAGACGGGCGGAAGTGTCCAAAGCAAACGTCTGGCCAACGTCACACAGCTCACATAGCGGCACGGTAGAACGCGAGCCAAAGCCGTGTGATGTTGTCTGCCAAAGCCCCTCCCAAGGAGCCTGGCCCAACCAATCATTGGGGATCCCAAAACTGTGTGGTGACAGACCGTACGGTGACATCAGAACCCTGAGAGACCTCACCACACGGTCCGTCACCGCACGGTCTTGGGACCCTGGAGTCCCTGTCCCCCGAGACATCCTCGGAGAACGACCCGAGTCCCAAAACCGTGCGGTGACCCCGATACCCCACCGACCCACCACACGGTGTAGTCACCATCCCGTTTGGGGGCCCTCGAGATCAGGAGGGGGGGAGCCGAGTCCAACTGCACCAGAGGCCCCCTGGAGGACCATCTGCTCCAGAACTGCTCCCATAAAGCGCGGTGTTTTATTCTCTTGCACAGGGTGTCTAGAGATCCGACCATTTCATTTCGGCACCGCACCACCTCTATCACCCGCACCTTCCACCAACCAGCGCGCCCCCTCCGCCCCAACCCTGTGATTTCGGCACGGCACACCCCTCCGCCCCGACCCCTTTTTTTTTTATTTCGGCACGGCACACCCGTCCGCCCCGACCCTTTTTTATTTCGGCACGGCACGCGCCGTTCCGCATCCCCCCCACCCACCAGCCAGCGCGCCCCTCCGCCCCGACCCCTTTGTATTTCGGCACGGCACACCCGTCCGCCCCGACCCCTATATTTCGGCACGGCACACGCCTCCGCAATCCCCCACCCACTTGCCCAGCGCGCCCCTCCGCCCGACCCCTATTTCGGCCGGCAACCCTCCGCCTCCAACCCCTTGTATTTGACCACGGCCACACCCCTCCACACCTCCCCCACCCACAGCCAGGCGCGGCCCCTCCAGCCAGGACGCCTTTATTTCGGCGCGGCACCCCCCTCCGCCCCGACGACTTTATTTCGGCACGGCACACCGCCTCCGCATCCCCCCACCCACCAACCAATGCGCCACTCCGCACCGTCCCCTTTTATTTCGGCACGGTACACCCCCCGCATCCCCCCCTACCAGCCAGCGCGCCCCCCCGCCCCGACCCCGTTCATTTCGGACCCCCCCCGCGCGCTCCTCCGCCCCGACATCTTTATTCCGCCTTTCTACCGGCACGGCGCACCCCAACCGCATCCCCCCACCCACC